GAAAATAGTGTCTGCATTATTTTCTCAAGCTACAAATCTCTATTTTGACTCCTAATCTATAGTACTTATCAATTTTAGTAATGTTTAATAATCTCGTATGTTGGCCTTGTTAATGAACAGCAATGGACATATATATATGCCTAAACTAAGACACAACTCCAACTAAACACATATAAAATTTTACCAGAAGAAAAGCAGCTTTTTTAAATAAAACAATTACATCTAAAATATCGCTTTAAATAAACCTTAAAGTCTGTTAAAGTACTTATTTACTGAGCCAGGTGGCTATCTGACTGAGGCTTCGTGTAAACACGCGTTTAACACGCATCGAGTACAAAGGCAGCCAGTCGCTCATAACAACATTGTATCTATTGTGTATATATATATAACTACATAAATCAACTTTCATTGAAAAGTAATCAACTTTTAAATAGGTCATGGACATTTGCATCGTTTCATATAGTATATCTGTTTAGGTGTTGGTACGAAATACCAACCCGATTTTGCTGTAGGCTTGTGAAAGACTAATATTGATTTTGTCTAACAATCGTGATATCACTTATTTCGTTTATTATCCATGTTTGGGTGGTTTTAACTATTGAAAAGGAAGGTTTTGAGTGTTGTTTCAAGAACAAATCTGCTTTTTAAGGTTTTTGCCCGAGTATTTTATTAGATTTTTGAACATATTCCAATGCGATCGATCCTTATTATGAACCACTATCTTGGTTCATGATAAAGTTAAATCATTTGTCAAAAATTAAGAGATATGTCAATTGTAAAAATATAATTTATGTACAAACGTTATCATGTGGAACATACATCAATTTATTGTTATTATGAATAGAATTTGTCACTCGAAAATTTATTTCTTACAAATATTGGCATGTAAAAAGTATAATAATAATATTAGATCGTCAAGAAATTAATGTCGCGTTTTGGAGCACTTTCATTACCCCCTCAAAAAAACAACAAACGTACATCGTGTATAATAGTTAAACGAACAGCCTAAACGTCACGCCAGTGTAGCCTATATAATGTGTAAAGATTAGTATTCTCTAGTCCCTTATACTGATGACACACGACGAGACAGATATTCGGCATGTAATGCTGTTTGAATACAGGAAGGTAAACAACGCCTCTGTAGCCACAAAGTATGTTAAAAAAGTTTATGGAAATGTTTTGAATGTTCGTAAGTGTCAACGCAGGTTCAGGTGACTTTAGTTTTAAAAACTGTGATGGCAGGTGCCGACATGTTGGAATTAATATTGATGCTCTGAAGATGCTTGTTGAGTCTAACCCAAGGCAAGACACTCGTGAAATGACCCTGAAATTGCATGTCTCTCATGAAACAATACTTAAATATATAAGGAATGTGGAAAAACTCCATAAAGAAGGTGTTTGAGTGCCTCCTGAACTCTCCAATGATGATCGTTTCCAACATGTGAACATTGCTTCGTCTCTTCTGGCTCGTAATGCGCGTGGGCCATTTTTGGACAGAATTGACACTGGTGATGAAAAATGGACTCTCTATGCGAATATTAAGCGTCAAAAACCATGGCTCAGTCCTAGACAAAAACAACTTCCGACCCAAAAACCTGGACTCCATCCGCAGAAAGTGATGCTATACATTTGGTGGGACATCAAAGGAGTAATTCATTTCGAATTCCTCAATCCACAGCGAACTGTCAATGCAGAGAGCTATAGGCAGCAACTGGAACGTTTAAATCAAGTCCTTCATCAGAAACACCCTTCACTCGTGAATCGGAAAGGTGTTATTCTTCTCCACGACAATGCACGTCCACATGTGGCACGTTTGACGCAACACAATATTATGGAGCTGGGTTGGGAGGTTCTCCCCCACCCACCATATTCTCGAGATATGGCACCATCAGATTACCATCTTTTTAGTTCGCTGCAACACCATCTTAATGGGAATGTGACAGATGTTAAAGAGAACATCGACATGTTTTTGTTTCAAAGCCAAGTTTTTTTGCTTGTTTTTTTTAATTTCGCGCAAAGCTACACGAGGGCTATCTGCGCTAGCTGTCCCTAATTTAGCAGTGTAAGACTAGAGGGAAGCCAGCTAGTCATCACCACCCACTGCCAACTCTTGGGCAACTCTTTTACCAACGAATAGTGGGATTGACCGTCACATTATAACGCCCGCATGGCTAAAATGGCGAGCATGTTTGAAGTAACAGGGATTCGAACTCGCGACCCGCAGATTGCGAGTCGAGCGCCCTAACCACCTGGCCATGTCGGGCCTGAAAGCCAAGTGATTTCTTTAATCAGTGCACTAACAACCTGATTGTAAGATGGAAAAACATCATCGATAAGAATGGAGACTATTTATTTAATAAATGTTTTGTTTTGATGTACAAGTTGTTCGGGTTTTTTCATCTAAAAACAAGCGACATTAATTTCTTGGCGATATAATAATTATTTCTACATATCACAAAAATCAGTAGAAGTGATAATTTAACGTGTGGTTAATTATAGTGATTTAAATTTAATGTTGTTTCTTTCTTGGCTTTATGAACATTACATCTATTCTTAAAATGAGTTTTCACTTTTCCTTATATTGTACTTAGTCCTCACAATCTTAGTTTAGCAAGATTCGGTGACTTATGTATTTAAGTCGGTCAAATTTGTGCCAGCTGCCCTGGTTAGGCAAAGAATGTTTGTCAAGTTTTATCAGTTGAAAATATATTCCATTTGCTATACTTAAGTTAAAAGTTAAAAGTTTTATAGCCAGATTAGATACTTTTGTATTTTAAGAATTAGGTTAGTAGTTGTAAAACACGAAACCTGATCTGTAATGTGTAAACTTCGTTTTATCGTAATGTGTTTTGTTAAAGTAATTTGTATACAGCAGCGTCTGATTGTCCTTTTACGTGAGGTCAAGGTTTTAATTTTTATTATGAATATAGATATTTCATTGAAATGTGGAATTGAGGGTGGTTTTTAAGGTAATTTTTTATTATTATGTTATTGTTGTTTGTTATTGAGCACTAAGCTACAAAAAGGGCTACCTGTGCTCTGCCGATCATGAGTATCCAAAACCCGGATTATAGCAGTGTAAGTCCGCAGACATACCGATGTGATACTGGGGGGGGGGGGGTTGTTATTAAACATTTGAACGTTTTCGCCTTCAGATGAAATGAGTAGTAATAAGGATTGTTTGTTTGTTTGTTTTGAATTTCGCCTAAAGCTACACTAGGGCCATCACGCTAGCCGTCCATAACTTAGCAGTGTAAGAGGGAAGGCAGGTAGTCATCACCACCCACCGTCAACTCTTGGGCTGCTCTTATACTAACGATAAGTGAGATTGATCGTCACATTATAACGCCCCTACAGCTGAAAGGGCGAGCATGTTTGGTGGGACCTCACCACCTGGCCATGCTGGGATGGTAATAAGGAAAATATATCTAGAATATGTTTACGGAGCAGAGTAGAACTCATTTCCATTGAGTAGGAATCTGTGTGAGTCAGGTTGCTCTAATTTCAAAATTCTTATTGCCGTATTTATGTTTAGTAATTAATTTTTAAAGATTAGTGTTTTATAGTTGATTATTACTGTGAAATATATATTTTTTTTGCTTGTTTGTCGCTAAGCACAAAGGTATACATTAGGCTGTGTGTGTGTGTTGTGCCCGCCACGTGTATCGAAACCCGGTGTTTTGCGTTATACTGTGAAGAAACGACAAAATAATGTGAAATATTTAGAAGAATATATAAGAGATTTTTAGAAGAAATTTAATGGTTTACCTTTTGTACCATGGATGAATTATTTAGACTATGAATTTATTTTTCTCGAAACAAAGAGTTATTTTAAATTAATAATTTGAGGTAGAAAAATTGATTTTAACTTTATAACGGTTATAAAATGTCATTAGAATTTTTTTTGATATCTTGATCTTGTTAAAATGAAATTAGTTCAGCGAATAATTTAAAAAAATGTTTAGCCGCATCGTAGCGGTTCATGGAATGAATATTTCAAGTACAAACTTATAGCTCAAAGTTCCAACATCTTTAGATAGATTTGAGATCTACTTACAGTTTTGGACTCAGGAGGTCAAACCCTTTCGAATGATGTATTTTACCTCGCCCAAGGTGTCATAGATTAATTTACTCTAATTCTGCCTAGAAGAATTTCAATTTGAGGGTAGGCTGGTAGAGATCCTGATGAGTAATAAAATCGAATCCGGTATACATACGCCCCACACTTGGCACTGCTGGCGCACAAAACTATAGCTAATAAAAAGAAATAATAAAAAAAAGGTTTCATTGATTAATCTACTCTAATCTTGCCTAAAAGAATTTCAAGTGCCGCGGCTGTCGAGGATTCCCTCGTGTTATGATATGCATATTTTAATACTAAAAAAAGAAGTTAGAATTATTTTAAAGGGTTGTAATTAATTGGCATCCTGAGGTGGGCTGAATCAAACGTTCTTTCGTAAAATAATAGTCTTTTCAGTTTCTCTTTTGGCATGAATGTTAACAATATTAGCTTCTAAAATACTATGAACTCTTATTAACTGACTTACTCAATTTCAAACCTATCTTTAATTTTCTGTTTATCTCCACTTCATTTTTCATATTAATCACTAGAATCCGGGTTTCGATACCCGTGGTTGGCAGAGTACAGATAGCCCATTGTGTTTTTTGGTTTGTTTGTAATTAAGCACAAAGCTACACAATGGGCTGCCCCCAATGGCATAGCGATATGTCTGCGGACTTACAACGCTAGAATCCGGGTTTCGATACCCGTGGTTGGCA